AGCACACACACACACACAGGAAAACCGCCAAAGGTTGCCAGATCATCACCTGAGGCGCTTCAAGAGGCTACTGGACAGAGAGCGCCAGCCACACCTGAACGGCTGTATCTGAGTTTGGGTTCCTTCAAGTTTTCTTGGATGGGATCTACACGGGCTCCTGTAAGGGACTTTGGATTTAGGGTTTAGGGTAAAGGCTTGCGCGTTACGGGTTAGGGTTCAGGGTTTAAGGATTTCTGACCAAGGGTTACCCAAAGGCCCAAAGTAGTTCGTTTCGGGGGTAAGGTAATCCCAAAAAGGAACTACTATGGGGCCTCTTGCGCTCTGAATCGGGCTCAATTTAAGCCCATAAGGGTCCTAGCTACTGATATGGGGGATACTTCCCCGAATCATAGTTTAATTTTAATTCCTAATGAGGCAACATTGCACTCTACTTTCTGGATACTTTGGACTCTTTAGGAAGGATTTAGGCTTCCCGGAGCAAGGCTTGTGCGTGATGTTCGGGCCTGTTGAGCAAAGGCCAACAGGCAAGCAAGTGGATCAAGCTGAAAGACTTTCACACCCTTAGCCCCGAACCCTGAAACTTATGCTTTAGAAGGGGCCCCCACCCTGTAATAGTGGTATAATAGGAATATAATAGGGCCCGAATATAATCCTTTTAGTCACTATTACAGAGTGGGGGCAGCTTCTAACTTATTCTTCATCTTGTTGACGAGCACTGCAAGATTCAAAGACCCCCTTCCAAAGTCCCACCCCAAAAACACCAGCACCCGCAACTCACAAGGAACAGGCTTTCGGACTGGGGTCTGGGGTTTGCTTGCAAGAGTGGCACAAGCGTTGCACAATGGCAAAGTATTGAACCTTTCTAGGAAGCTTCGGTCCAAGGTGTATACTTTTCAGGTACATGTACCCTATAAAACCATGCATATGTAGGAAACCATAGAAATCGACTCAAAAACCTTCCACTAGATGCTATGCCAAGCCCTAGCAGCGAAATTTGGAATGATAAGAAGGGGGCATGACTAGCTAGAATAGGTTTTGAATAAGGCTAAGCATAACCATCACAACGGACCCTAAGAATAGCAGTAGTAATCACTTAGCCCCCTATCTTCAGCCTTATATTGAGCTCATGGATTTCAAAAGGTTATTGCATATAGCATGTAGTATATAGGAGCTATATAATACCTTCAGGGAACAGAAGTAGTAACTATTCCGATCTATGCATTACTTAAACCGTCTCATCAGTTTACAGTCTTCCCTTTCAGGAAGAATGTGAAGCCCTCTGTTGTGCATTCTCGCCTCGACCGCCAGGCCAGCAAAGGCCAAGCATGGCTTTGACGAGCACCCGGGAGGCCCATCTCAAGCAGGGAGCTTGAGGTTCCTTTAATCCAAGGGTAAAAGGAGGGACCCTTAATAAGGACCCCTAGGTACATACCCTTAACATAGCTATTATATACCCATTATAGAGCCCATTATGGGGTAGGGGTCCCTGTTAAGGGACCCTCCTTTTCCTTTCAGCTGTCTGCAAGAAGGGCTGACGGTTCGGGCCTCAAAGGATTAGAGCTTGGGCCTAGGGGTTTAGGGTCAGGCTTTGGGGCTCAGGGATCACGGGTTTTTGGGGTTTAAGGGTTTAGGGTTTAGGGTCTCAGGGGTGTAGGGTTTAGGGTTTTATGGTTTTAGGGTTTAGGGTTTAGGGGTTTAGGGTTTTAGGGTTTTAGGGTTTAGGGTTTAGGGGTTTAGGGTTTTAGGGTTTAGGGTTTCAGGGGTGTAGGGTTTAGGGTTTAAGGGGGTTTAGGATGGCTTGGGGATGTACGGCTTCAACTCGAAGCCTCTCGAGCTCCGCCAGGAGAGAGCACGGGTGTTGCAGCCAGATGGCTCGTGGAGGACAAAGGTTCGCACATGTGGGAGCTTCGGGTTTTAGGGATAGGGTTAAGGGTGAGGCCTGAAACCCGAACTCCAAAAACTTATAAGCCCGAAAACCACAAGCCTCAGGGCCCTCGGCCCCAAACCCTAGGGCCGAAACACTGAGGACGAAACCGAAACCCCAAAGCCGAAACCCAAGGGCCGAAACCCTAAGCCCATACGGCTGTGCAGGCACCGTCTTAACTAAAACCGCTAATTTTGCAGACCTCAGGCCGTGAAGGTCTGCAAGACTAGGGGTTCTTGTTGCGCAGGACGGTTGTGCAACACAAACCGCAACCAAACCCGCTAATATTGCAGACCTCAGGCCGGAAAGCTTTGCACAATTATCGGTTTTGGTTGCGATTTTGGCGGCCCAAGCTCAAATTAATTCGCAACCAAAATCACTAAGGCCATTAACATGTGAATGCGCATGTGGGAGAGAGGTCTAGGGTTCAGGGTTTAGCGGTTTGGGGTTTAGGGTTTAGTCTGGGGGGTCTGACTTCCTCCTGTAGTGATGAGACTAACTAGCAGCATGCCCCACAAATGCATTCTAATTATGAACCCCCTAATTCATCACAAAACCTCGAGCTCAAAGCTCTGGGGTTGGGCGGAGGGCTTGAGGTTTGGGGTTTAGGACTTTACTTGGAGGGGCAGGGGACTTGGTAAGTAGGTGATAAGTAGAGTTATAAGTACCCCAAAGGGAGTTACCCGAATTGTATCTCTACTTAAAAAACGACTTGCTAAGGCCCCTGCCCTTCCAAGTAGGTTACCAGGTTCAGCATGTATGGTTCAGGGCTAGGGCCTGGGTGCCCTGGCCCAAAACAGGGTAACCCGTTGGGTTGTGGTAGGATTTCAATAACCCCCAATACGTTAAAGAATACCTATTCAGCTACGAAGTGCTAGTATCATTGTGCCCCCTAAACCCATCCCTGAGGTCAATCAATATTAAAGGACTTTTGAGTTTGCATAGGTGCCAGAAGCCAGAAAAAACGAGACATGGACCGTTAGGGTCTTACGAGAAGGAGCCGCGTGTGTCTTAATCTCAAATAGCTTGGGGGTGGTGACCAATGATGCCCCGGTGTTTGCCTCGATTCAGGGTTTAGGATGGGGTGCCGGGCATCAGGCTAAGGGCTATTAGGGCTTTTTGGGGTTGAGGGGTCTCGGGTTTAGGGGTTCAGAGCTTAGGATTGAGGGGTTTCAGGTTTATATAGGAATTTGGGGGTTAGGGTTTTCTGAAACCAAAAGATCCTGGCGGACAGCTGTTTTGCTGCCCCGGTCTCTTCCCAAGGCTTCGGGACAATCGTCCCGGGGACGTCGAGACTGCAAGGGCCTTCGGGGTTTCGGGTATAGGGCTTTTTGGGGGAGGATCTGAAAGTGGATTCCGTGATTTGGGGCCCTATACTACTAAGGGATCTTCGTAGGAACCCCCATTAAGGATCTATTTTGGTATACAGTAAACCCCTTGAAGTTGGAAACCGGATTAAGGCCAAAAACTGGGATTCCCTATACTTTAGCCTTGGGGATTGAGGCTATTGGGTTCCCAACTTTTGGGCTTCTACTGTAGGGCTTTTTGGGGGATGGCTAAGTCTAAGTCCTGAACCCTAAACCTCTAAACTGATGGGAGGCCAAAAGGGGTGTTTAAGATTCTTGGGGTAGGGATTCCTGAATACGGTTGATGATATAAATCCTGCACTGCATTACCCATAATAAGGAACATACCATAGTTCCCATAGTTTAGGGTCCTTAAGGTAATGCAGAATTTATATCATCAACAGTATGATAAAACTTAAAGGAGATGTCAGAACTTATACAACCCGCGGCTACCAAAGCCTAAAACTCCAAATGCATTGCCCCAAGAAGGTGCCATCTTTGGGCTTTAGGCCTCGGAGTGGGCCCTGTTTGTATACAAATCCACAACCACGACATCATGAATGCTAGTAAACACACCCTTTCCAAACTCCTAAATGCCTCTGAAACCTAAGCGTCAGCCTCGTAAACCCTTCAACAACCCTAAACCCTAGACCCTAACGAGGGCTCTAGTTGGGTGCTTGGGTTGGGCGCAGGCCTCGAAAAACGGACCCTCGGAACAAGGGGTGCACCGCCCTCTTATATGTAGTCTTCCCTAAACCCTTTAGGGTTTAGGGTTTCAGGGCTTGTGGTTTAACCGTTTACCCTAAACCCCTAAACACTAAACCCAACACCCTAGGCCCTATGCCCTAAACTAGCTAGTGAACTTCACTAGACGTGGTCTCTCAGTTCTTTGCCGGTGCACTTCAACGTCCTAGGCCCCGGAATCAATCTTCCTCCCACCAGCCACAACCATGCTCATTACGTTTGTGCTCGTGAGGGTTCAGGGTTTTAGGGGGTAGGGTTTAGTAGTTTAGGGTTTAGGGATGTTGGGGTTGGGTTTTTTTGCGGTTTAGGGTTTAAGGATCATCTGAACCCGGCCTCACGGATTTGACAGGAGTGATGCCGACCCTCCCTGAATGATTCCTCTGGGGCCCATTATACTATAATCATAAAAAGAGAGGCCGAAAATAGTATTGGTAATTTTCAAGGCCCCTACATTATGTGGATGGTCCATGAACACACGGGGTGCATGGGCCGGGGGTTTACAGAGGACCTGGGAACTTCTGAAGTAGATTGTTAAGGGGAATGTAAACACATGTCAGTCAACCAAAACTAGGCACTTGTCCCAAGATCCGCTAGTATAAATACCTTGCGCCCCAAATAACTTACATATTTACGACCTTATAAGGAAAGTCTATTCAGGAACCCTAGCAATCTAAGTTTTCTCAGGTCCAGGTCATCTTAGGGGCCGAGTACCCTGGCACAGAACAAGGCTAACCTCTTCAATCAAGGTCGGATTATACGAACCCCGAACGGTTAAAGGTTACGCCTCAGCTACTAAGATAGTCTATCCAAGGAGTCATAAAAAGATCTCGAAGCTTCCCCAAAGTGTCCTAAGTACTTACAATTACAGGGGGATACTTCCCCGAACCACAGTAGTAATTCCCAATATGGAGACTGGACTTCTAACATGTAGGTACTCATTGCCCTCCAGCCCAACTCAACGTGCAATTCTGGAGCCATGCTCCGACCTACGGCTGTGCCGGGTAGCTCAGCAATGGAAAAATCAATGCCTCAGCTGACGTAGGGATGAGGGTTCAGGGTACGGTACAGGGTCCACAGCATAAGTCTTCAATACAATTTTGGATCTCAAGATGTGCCGATTGCAGGCTTCGGACTATATGCCTTTTCTTTCTCGACATTGCCTTCACGCTCACACCATGTGCAAGCTTTAGGCCCCCCCCTTAACCATGGGGACCAGTCCCCCACCCCCTTATACATTTCCAGTGGTGTTCGAACCACGAATGCTCTAACTTACAATGCGAAAGAAGCCAAAACACAGCAGGGCCCGTAGCTTACGATAGGATCAGGGCACCCTGAAACCCCAACAGCGACACCTTGAAACCCGAAATGCCTTCAGCGACATAGCACCTAATTGCCATCGAAGCTTATACGCCCAAATCGAAAGCTGAGGAACAACTTTTTTTTCGCAGGGCGAGAACCCCGGGTTCCCGTTCTCCAACGGAATGGATTCGTCAGAGTCTGGTGGAAGGTTTAGGACACTGGCCAAAGCTTTAAGTTTGAGACCTGGGGGCTGGAGGCAGTGGCTGGAGGCTTTTAGGCTTAGGCAAGCGAAGGTCCAGACTCCAACAAACCCCTTCGCTCCCTGACGAGAACGGAGCACCTTTTCAAGAGCGTATCTGCCGCAGCTGAGGGCCTTGATTGCGACATAGTACTACTGCGACACATACCACAATGTACAGCTTACTCTGGATGGCTCAAGACATCAACTCGAAATCTTCAATATGCATCGGCAATGGGGTTTGGGCTGAAGGGAAGAAGGTTCGGGCTAGGGTCGAGGCTCTTGGAGGGGTGCTCTGAAAGGAGCTCGTAACCTGTATTGAACCCGGACTTTCCAAACTTGAGCCCCGGGTATGTGCTATATTCTTGGCGCAGTGCTAAGACTGGAGATGACTGGAGATTAGCATGTCGATGCGTTTGGGGTTTCGACAGAGTTCACTGGGCTACTGAGTTGCTACTTAGCAGTCTACTTAGCTAGCGGCAGCAGCTCAAACGCATGCTTGTGAATGCGCTTGAGCAAGCACAGGAAATCATGTTCGCGATGTGCGGCCACACGGAACTGTTCACAGACGGCCTGGCTGAACATGCTTGATGCCACTGGGGCCTTCCCCGCGACATTCTTGGTGCAGAAGTCTTTCTGAAACAGCATGGGCGCGCGCACCTTCAGCTCAGTCCACAAAGGCCTGTCATGTTGACTTCAAAGCCACGAAACCACCAGGCAACAAAATCCTGTAGAGACACTTCGCGAGCTACCAGCTAGACGGAACCCAAGACAATAACAATCAATGCAGCCGAAGCGGGCAGGGAGGAGGTGCGAATTGGGAAAAATCGAGGTGCGAATGCGGTTTTCTTGTGATCAGCAAGGGACCATTTGGGATAAGTGCAGGTGCGAGAGGGCTTCGTCGCAGTTGCGAATGGGGTTTGCAGTCAAGGGCAGGGAGGAGGTGCGAATTGGGAAAAATCGAGGTGCGAATGCGGTTTTCCTGTGATCAGCAAGGGACCATTTGGGATAAGTGCAGGTGCGAGAGGGTTTCGTCGCAGTTGCGACTGGGGTTTGCAGTCAAGGGCAGGGAGGAGGTGCGAATTGGGAAAAATCGAGGTGCGAATGCGGTTTTCCTGTGATCAGCAAGGGACCATTTGTGATAAGCGCAGGTGCGAGAGGGTTTCGTTGCAGTTGCGACTGGGGTTTGCAGTCAAGGGCAGGGAGGAGGTGCGAATTGGGAAAAATCGAGGTGCGAATACGTTTTTCCTGTGATCACCAAGGGACCATTTGGGATAAGTGCAGGTGCGAGAGGGTTTCGTCGCAGTTGCGACTGGGGTTTGCAGTCAAGGGCAGGGAGGAGGTGCGAATTGGGAAAAATCGAGGTGCGAATGCGGTTTTCCTGTGATCAGCAAGGGACCATCTGGGATTTGTGCAGGTGCGAGAGGGTTTCGTCGCAGTTGCGACTGGGGTTTGCAGTCAAGGGCAGGGAGGAGGTGCGAATTGGGAAAAATCGAGGTGCGAATGTGGTTTTCCTGTGATCAGCAAGGGACCGTTTGGGATAAGTGCAGGTGCGAGAGGGCTTCGTCGCAGTTGCGACTGGGGTTTGCAGTCAAGGGCAGGGAGGAGGTGCGAATTGAGAAAAATCGAGGTGCGAATACGGTTTTCCTGTGATCAGCAAGGGACCATTTGTGATAAGTGCAGGTGCGAGAGGGTTTCGTTGCAGTTGCGACTGGGGTTTGCAGTCAAGGGCAGGGAGGAGGTGCGAATTGGGAAAAATCGAGGTGCGAATGCGTTTTTTGGGATCAGCAAGGGACCATTTGGGATAAGTGCAGGTGCGAGAGGGTTTCGTCGCAGTTGCGACTGGGGTTTGCAGTCAAGGGCAGGGAGGAGGTGCGAATTGGTAAAAATGGAGGTGCGAATGCGGTTTTCCTGTGATCAGCAAGGGACCATTTGGGATTTGTGCAGGTGCGAGAGGGTTTCGTCGCAGTTGCGACTGGGGTTTGCAGTCAAGGGCAGGGAGGAGGTGCGAATTGGGAAAAATCGAGGTGCGAATGTGGTTTTCCTGTGATCAGCAAGGGACCATTTGGGATAAGTGCAGGTGCGAGCTTTATTAAATTCCTCGTGGTGCCGTGCGGATGTGCCTTTGCATTCATGCACTTGGATGTTGTCTGTGGCGTTGCCTGCCAGCTTCCAGCATCAAGGTATCAGGCTTCTTGCGCACAGCACAGCCCGAACTTAGCTGACATGGATCCGGTGCAGACGGGGGTTCTCAAGGAGTCCCACATGATGACGGTGGCCGTGGTCTTGTTCCCCATGTGCCGGTTCGAGTGCAGCCAAATGAAGGATACAGACTTTGCAGGCAGGATTTCAGTGCACGGAGCAGTGAGCAGAGATTAGCAGAGGGTTTGCATGTCAAAACACGGTAGACTGAGAGGCCTGCGCGGTGCTGTTTGCCACGGTGGAGAGCATGGCCTCGAGCATAGTTCAATTTCCAGAAGCCAGTCGATGTCAATTGGCGAGCATCGGTGCCGAACTTCCCGCCGTGCGACAAGGCCGTGCTCAGGAAAGCAGGCCCGAAGGTGCTGGAGATGTTGACGGCGCTGATCGATGGCAAAGCGACGGAGCCGGGGGATCACTGACACTGACGGATGCCATGCAGATGCGAGAGTGTTCTGCGGACGCTGAAGATTATGCTACGCAGCTGAAAATACAGAGCTTCATAAAACCACGTAATGTCTGTAAAACCTTCCCCGAAGTAGACGCCTTGCAGATGCGTAAAACACCCAGGTGATGGGAAATAGCCCTGGGACCAAGTAATGCACGCCGTGCGGCAAAGACCCGTCAAAAAGGCCTGGTAGCCTGCATCGCCCGAAAGCGAGCTCAGGATCCCAAAGAAGTCGCAGCCGTCCAGCCACGCAAGAAACGGATCCCGCAGGCCCTCCTGCATGCCTTCCTGCAAGGCCGCACTCGGGACAGCCTCAGATCAGCACAAGCATGTCCGCTTCCCAAACGCCTGGAGGCCCGTAAAACCATTGAGCTTAAGCCCGGAGCCCTTAAGTACATTGTACTTAAGAGCCCGGGGCCCTTAAGTACATTGTACTTAAGCCTGGGGCCCTTAAGTATATTGTACTTAAGGGCCCGGGGCCCTTAAGTACATTGTACTTAAGGGCCTGGGGCCCCTAAGTACATTGTACTTAAGCCTGGGGCCCTTAAGTACATTGTACTTAAGGGCCCGGGGCCCTTAAGTACATTGTACTTAAGGGCCCGGGCCCTTAAGCCTGGGGCCCTTAAGTATATTGTACTTAAGGGCCCGGGGCCCTTAAGTACATTGTACTTAAGGGCCTCGACCCCCCCCCCCTCCCAAACGAGGTCTTACGTGCTCGCAAAAGCCTTCAGTCGTGGTTCTTTTGGGGGTCTCCTGGGAGGGGGGGGGGGGGTCGAGGCCCTTAAGTACAATGTACTTAAGGGCCCCGGGCCCTTAAGTACAATGTACTTGGGGGCCCCAGGCTTAAGTACCATGTACTTTGTACTTAAGGGCCCCGGGCCCTTAAGTACAATGTACTTAAGGGCCCCAGGCTTAAGTACAACGTACTTAAGGGCCCCAGGCTTAAGTACCATGTACTTTGTACTTAAGGGCCCCAGGCTCTTAAGTACAATGTACTTAAGGGCCCCAGGCCCTTAAGTACAATGTACTTAAGGGCCCCAGGCTTAAGTACAATGTACTTAAGGGCCCCAGGCTTAAGTACAATGTACTTAAGGGCCCCAGGCTTAAGTACAATGTACTTAAGGGCCCCAGGCTTAAGTACAATGTACTTAAGGGCCCCAGGCTTAAGTACAATGTACTTAAGGGCCCCAGGCTTAAGTACAATGTACTTAAGGGCCCCAGGCTTAAGTACAATGTACTTAAGGGCCCCAGGCTTAAGTACAATGTACTTAAGGGCCCCAGGCTTAAGTACAATGTACTTAAGGGCCCCAGGCTTAAGTACAATGTACTTAAGGGCCCCAGGCTTAAGTACAATGTACTTAAGGGCCCCAGGCTTAAGTACAATGTACTTAAGGGCCCCAGGCTTAAGTACAATGTACTTAAGGGCCCCAGGCTTAAGTACAATGTACTTAAGGGCCCCAGGCTTAAGTACAATGTACTTAAGGGCCCCAGGCCTAAGTACAATGTACTTAAGGGCCCCAGGCTTAAGTACAATGTACTTAAGGGCCCCAGGCTTCAGTGCACTGTACTTAAGGGAGTTAAGGGCCCCAGGCAAACGGCTTAAGCTGAATGTATTCAAGGGAAAATCCGAAACTCAAGTCACAAAGCAAGACCTCCCATACCTAAATCCCCCGACGCTGTGCACGACTGTTGCTGAAGTGCGAAATGAAAACAGGTGGACCTGGTCAAGGGACCGGTTTCTCGGGGACGCTGTCCATTGAGAAATGGGCAGCCTTCCACCACGGCACATCAGACACGATTTTAGGGTTCCGACCGAGTTTCGGACCGAGCCAGGAGCTAATGGTTCGTTGTATCGAGATTTAGGCTTAAGGGTTAAACAAACGGTTTCGGCGCTAACACTCTGACAATGTTGGATTTGCCCGTGACATGTGGCATTAGAAGGCTTAGTCTGCAGGCTTGCATGCACGAGCACGGTCCTAACTGGCGGAAGACTGGCAAACTCTGAATCCTAAACCCTGAACCTCCAAAACTCTCAAGCCTTGGCCCCGCACCTGCTTCGTCTAGCACCGGCTCGCCACTGAACTTTTGCAATTTCACACTGCCTGTTCAAGGACCGACAAGCTTTCGCTGGTCTCGGGTGTGAGGTTCAAGGTCTTTAGAACTGGGGTCTGCAGTTGTCTGCGGCATATTTTCAAGGATCATGACTGCACAAATGCTATCCTGTGGCCATGCTGCGCTCAAAACCTTTTGGCCCCAGGAAAGTGCCCCACGAAGTTGTGCAAGGTTCGCGCTCCGCCGATGAGCAGTTCTCGTTATAGCAACTCCTCGAACGAATGCTTTAAAGGCGGCCTTGAGGGCACAGTAGAAGCTGGCTTCTTTTATCGGGTTCTTGTTTTGGGTCTATTGGGGATGTTAGCAGTACTTTGAGAACAGCATCACCATGAGCAGCAACATCAAAACCACTATCCTCATCCTAGTTCCTCATCCAACCGATCAACATGGACAGCATGACCCTACTCCCACATAATTAGACCTAAGTACCACCCCCGCGCGACCCCATTTAAGAGAAAGAGCTGGAACTGCGAGGTTGCAAGTTTTAGGTTGTGTTGGGGGGGACTTGCGAGCTCTGCGCATTCAAGACTTCGTGAGTGCTTGCGCTCGCCAACCCTGAAATTTGATCCCGAAGCAAACATGATGCATTACAAGAGGGTCACTTACCAGAATCACTTGCCCCGCAGTTTCGCAGGTCTTTCGGCCTTTCCATGCACAGCACTTAGCACCATGGCGTCACCATGGTGTTACAGGACGATCTCATAAACATCACTGACACAACCTCAGTACACAACCTCATTGGGACTGAAAGAGCTATCCAACTCTTCTCCGAAGGTCGCATGACAATCCTCCGAGCTTCCCCGCTAGAAGAGCCACTTGGAGCCGCTTGGCAACACGCTTCGGCACCTCCACCGTAAACAGTCACGACTGTTTGAATAAGGATGACTGAGTAGGATGACTGAGTAGGATGACTGTTCGGAGACTTCTCTCCAGGCAGCCACACACAGGAACCCTACAGCAACCCTAGGACAACTACCCCGATCAAGCCGTCGGTGCCCTGGAGAACCTGCGTGGGTTCACTGGCCGTCAGAAGATCTCAGCAGTCCACTGGTCTAGGTTTCTAGACTTGAATTGCTGCTAAATTACACCTGTTCTTCACCCATCCCGGCCCATAGAGAGAAAATGCTGAAGAGGCTCTGTCTTGCCGGATCGCTGGCACAACTTCTTCAGTTCCGCCAGCGGAAGAGTTCTGTTCCGCCGACACAGCTCCTTGGAATAACTGCACAGGTGTGGTGGCTGCAACTGGAGCGTCGAAATGCTTCGGCAAATCCATTTTTATTGTAAAGCCAAGAAACTAAGAGATCCTCCGCTTCGGCTCGGCTCTTGCGGCCGCAGACTCGCGTCTTTTTGGTACCAAAGGAGATCACATAGGTTACCGCCATCGTCTCGTACCTGTTTTCCTCCCACATATAAAAATCAGGCTTCCCCTCGGCAGCCATGGCTGTGCAAAGCAGCAAAGCGTCCTGGTTACAACTCAGTGTTACAACTCCGCATCTATGACCCGACTTACGAGAAGTCACCTGCGAAGGAAAGACCTAATCTGAAACCACTTCTGAAACCATAGCCTGTAAAGCTAAGCAATAGCATTCAATAGCTACAGACTGGTGCTACTGGCTTTCTGTTGCTGCAGCCGTCGGCCACAATGTCGACCCTGGGGTGAACTCCTGGGGTGAGCTTCCTGGGGTGATAGGTCTCTCAACCACAACGCCCGCTCATGAAGCCAAAGAACAACGGTGAACATGTATATGTAAGTGCATTCATAGCCACACCAAACGTTTTAATTTCCTGTCTTTGAGCGGCCCGTGAACAGCTAACCAGCATTCTTCTAGGCATACTTCTGTGGCAATTGTGATGTCTGCACTGCTGCTTCGCTGGAAGGAAGGGCTTGCATTTGTCTACGCAGAACGAGGATGACCACGAGAGGAATGTATATCTGTGGCCCCACCACACCCCACCTTCTTATACATTCTAAGGGGCCGGTGTTGCAAGCTTTGGCTGTGGGTGCCACGCGTACTTCTGTAATGACTGTTTTCGACAAAGCCGGACGCTGTAAACTGCTCCTTAAGAAGTCTTGCAGACGGCGATAGTGGTCGTGCCAGAAACATGCAGGAAACATGAGCGAGATCTTGGAGTAGAGTCGTTGAGCACGGACTAACATGAAAAGTCATAAACATTTACATGCTTCTCGAACAGTATCTCGAGGCCATCATTGCAACGGACCTACAAGCAGGTAGGACAGGGATTTCCTCATTCTGCCAGGGCTACATAGGCAGAAGCCCCACAACCTTATCCAAAAACCCTAACTCACAAACCCTAAACCCAAAATCATGAACCTATAAACTCTGCATCTCAAACCCGAAACCCCAAAATGCCAAACACATATACACCAGAAACTAAAGGGATGCGCGTGGCCACCAGCAGGATGGACAGCAGCGCGACCAGCCAGCTGAAGGACTTCTTCTGCCCAGACTGCGGCGACGGAGTCTCCTGAGGGCTCCGAAACCAAAAGGATCCTTGTTGTAGGGTTCAGGGGTTTCAAGTTCAGGGGTTTAGGGTTTAGGGATTAGGGTTCAGGGTTTTAGGCCAAGGGTTGAGGGGTTAAGGTTTCGGATTGAGGGAAACGGAAAGGCTCTCTTGCGGCTTCTGCAAGAGTTCCTTAGAAGTAGGGGATCTATCTTCAACAAAAAACCCGAACGAAGAAATCTGTGCGTTTCCAGGATCGGTCTGAAGGTTGTAACGGCCTTGCTTAATGTAAGGGCTCAGGGCCTCGCGCCCCCGGAACTCCAGCATGTAGGGTTCTAGATCCTTTATCCCGAGCGGGTCTAGGAAAGTCGATGTTGGCCTACCTTATGAATTACGACAAACTTTAATATGCAATAGCCCCTGGCTCTAGACCATCAAACCCTAAAAAAGTTGCAACCTCAAATCCGAAACTTGATACCCTGAAACCCGAAGCCTCCTCTACTCCCGAAATCCGAAACACCGGCTTCTCGATTGCGGTCTACCCAGAGGCCCCGTAGTAGTTCGAGGTTGGGATTACCTTATAGGGTTCTAATTATATACGAACCCCAAAAAGGAACTCCTTCGTGGCCTTTGGGTGAGGTCTAACTACCCTGAAGCCTACAGCGGTTCAGGGTTACGGGCAAGCCCTAAACCCAGCCACAATGCTGCACGCGTGGCGATGCGGCTACGTGAAGCGCGGCTCAACGAAGACGAGCTCTTCCTGTTTAGGGTTTAGGATGCAGTGAAGAAATCACTGTACTCTAAGGGTCCAGTAATCACTACTATGCTAAACCGGAGTTCCTGTTCTCTTGAGTCCTTCGGACGCGTAGGGATACGGTTTCCTGTTTTGGGTTCTAGGAAAAAGCGTTCAGGCTTTGAATGAGGTCTCAGTTGCTTTATGGGACGTAACTACTAGTAATTAGAGTCCAGGGCCTTGGGCTGTCCGATCTCGGAGATTTTGTATGGCCCCCTGAACCTCTGAACCCCAAACACTTTTGTGGTGGGCAGGTTAAAGCATAGGGCATAGGGACTTGCGCAGTGCTTCTTAAGACTTGAAATCTTCATCATATGTACTTCTTCTTCTGGTAATCTTTAAGGTTGAGGGTTGTTGCGGGCTTGATCCTGACGGGTTTGGGGTGGGCTTACACCTCCAGCACAAACCATAACATGGTGGCCCATCGCCAGCCCCACCAATGTAGCTACCACCAGATTCTCGCCAAACCCCTTCTCATGTAGCCCTTAGATTCGGGGGGAGCCTAATTTTCGGATTGAAGGTATATTCCTTGATTGAGGGGCAGTGTTTAGGGCTTAGGGGATTAATAAGCCTCTTTACCTCAAGATGTGTCGGAATTAACACCGATCCGAAGATTGGAGCTGCTAAACAAAACGAGTGCTTGAACCAGGGGTCCACATGAAAAACGGGCATGCCAGCTTTGTGTTGTCTGGGTTTCGGGCTTAGGGTTCGCATACAAACACAAACAGCACCACCTAATCCTATTCCTCAGGGCCTTAGGGTTCCTTTTACTATACTATCATGTGGGTAGTTGTCAAAACTAAGGTCCCTTTTTGGGTACCCTAAATCATAGGTGCCGTATTATTGTAAGGACCCAAAAAGGGGACCATAGTTTTTGACACCCACCCATGTAGCCCCAAAGAGGTTTTTCGAACTGAGCAGGCCCATGTATTGAGAGTTGGGTTTAGGGTCTAGGGTTTAGGGTCGCTGATGTCTGAATCCCACTCCTGTCTTGCGGCCTCCGTCCCGGAAGAGCCTCTGCAGCACCCTCAAAGATCGCGTAGTAACTCCTCGGCGGATCTTAAAGCAATGACCCGTTGAAGCTTCAACCGCTTGCATCAATTTCAAAAACACCCCGTCATCACCATTTTTGGATTGGGGTTCCGGCAAAAGAGCAGGAGCAACAGCATGAGAAGGAGCAGGATCAAGAGCAGCAGCAAAACTTAGAGCAGAAGCAAGAGCAGGAGTCAGCAGGAGCATGAGCAAGAGCAGGAGCAAGAGCAGAAAGAACAGAAGCAACGGCAAGAGCAGGAGCAAGAGCAGGACCAGGGGCAATGGCAGGAGCAAGATAGCCCAACAGTGACAGCAGAGATAACAAAACACTGCCATATTAAAACGATTCGAGCTTCTATTGGGGTGGGGCGCGGCACGTTTGAGACTAGGGATTAGGAATGGGACTAGCTAGGTCAAAAAGCAAGGTAGCAGTGTAGTGATAGCTGCAAAGACGCACAGGAACTGTACAGGGTTCTTGTAACCCTCTTTGCAATCCTAAACCACCCGAAACCCTAAACCACCCCAGATCCTAAATCACCCTAAACCTAAGACTCTAAACCGCCCGAAACCAGCCAAAACCCTAAACCTATAGTTGAAGATGTCAAGCCTGTATTGCCCATAACAAGGAATATACCAAAATTCCCATGGTGTAGGGTCATTTAGGTAATGCAGGATTTATATCATCACCGAAGCCCTAAACCCTGAATCCTAGACCCTAAACCCTGAACCCTAAACCTTAAACCCCTAAACCTTAAACCCCTAAAACCTAAACCCCTGAACCCTAAACCCTAAATCCCAAAACCCCTAAACCGACGTCTCCCTAGAACCTGCTCAAAGGTCCACGGCGAGGCTCTGGATCTCCGGGAGGGTTCGCTGCGTGTTCAGCCCTGCAAACGAACTCGTGGGCTCCAGTTACATGTTACTTGGAGGATCCTGGGACTTAGTAAGGGTTCCTTTAAGGGCTCCTTAAAGGGATCCATAAAGGTTCCTTAAAGGGATCTATAGGGTTTAGGGTTTAGGGTCTACTTGGAGGATCATGGGACTTATTAGGTAAGGTTATAAGTACCTTAATGGGGGCTATAAGTGGTTATAAGTATAGTTACCCTAATTATAACCCTAGTTACTAACTCCCATGATCCTTTAAGTAGGGTGTAGGGGTTTAGGGCTTAGGCTTTGGAGCTCGGGGTTTAGGGTGTAGGGGTCTAGGGTTTAGGGTTTAGAGCTTAGGGTTTAGGGGTTTAGGGTTTAGGCTCTAGGGGTTATGAGTAGATGACTAACCATATGATATCTACCCCAGTGACCTACTATTTAGGTAACCGGAGCCCTGCAAACGAAGGCCGCGCCTTCGGGCTTACGTGCCTTACGGTTTTAGGGGTTAATTAAAGAGTGTTAAAGGGTTTTAGCATTTTAAGGCTTATATTATTATAGGGCTTTAGGGTTTCAGGTTTCGGGGGTGAGGCATTCTGGTTTAGGGCTTATGGTGTTTAGGGTTTTCGGCGTTTGCAGAAAAGTTTTGGTGAGAAGAATCGACAAAGCCTACACCTATACACCCCAGATCAGACTTACTCGTCGTAAGTCTCAAGTCTACTGGCGGCTTGCCCAACGAAAGGGTGTAAGCTTCGATTCTTTGAGCTTCGGGGTTTGGTTTTTGAAGGTTCAGGCGTAGTTGTAGGCAGGGTGATAGGTAAGGTCTCCAGTTGCAGTTAAGTATACTCCGATTATAACCTACTTGTAACCCTGCCATAAACCCTAAAACCGAATAATTACACTACTTGTTTGCTTCCGACAAGTTGGGACAAACACGATGGAATCTGGCTGTCCCGCCTACCACAGCATCCGCAGACTTGTGCCCCTGCATATCAACCCAAGAGTCTTCCCGCTCATGAATCCTGTGTGCGAGATGCTCCACAAACCACTGCAGCCGGCTATGAGCTGTTGCACGCGGCAAAAAGATGTAAACCTGTTGCATCTCTTGCCATAGCCGCACCTGCGGAGATGTGGATTTTTTTCTCTCACCAAAGTCTTCAAGTCTTGATGCAAGCATGGGCACATGCCGAGAGTCCGTTGGGTAATGGGGCTCTTCATCTATGCGGAGCCTCTCAAGTTTTGGCTCCTTGGGAGATTTGCTGGCGCATGACTGGTGGCGTTGAGCGGCTTGGCAAGCACCTCTGAAAAAACTGTTTGCCAACGTTCCCCACCAAGGCTGGCCCCGAGGTTTGGAGGGCAAGGGTTGCTCCCTTGTCCTGGTCTTTAAGTGCGGAGCTCTCGCTGTGAGAGAACTCTCAGAACCCTCCGAAAATCGATATTCAGCTCTCGGTGGGATAGAAGGGACCGCACAACTAAACATGGCCCACAGACTAAACCTGCAAGCCCTACACCCTGACAAACCTGAAGCCCTACACTTCAAACCCTGAAGCCCTGAACCCTAAACTAAAGCCTAGAACCATGAAGAAACCCTAAACTCTCACCCCCCGATCCCTAAACCCCTCAAACCCTCAAACCTAAACCCTGCTCCCAGTTGACTGGACTTGGCTTTCACAGTTTAGGGCTTCAAGGCTTTAGGGCTTCAGGGCTCAAGGGTTTTTGGTTTAAGATTTTCAGGCTTTGGGACATCGAGTTTAGGGTTGCAGGATTCCGGTATACAAGGTCTGAGAGTTTAAACAGGCCCGAAACCCTCAACCAGGCTTCGCGGTAAAGATTGAGTTTTGGAGAAGTTGGAGCGTGCGATGTCACATCGACGACCCGACGAAGCATCTGCCCGGAGCCGCTGAGCCAGAAAGATTTCTGGCCGAGACACGGCTTAGAGTTTAGTAAACATCCCTGAATGCCAGACCACCCTGCTTGCAAGCCTTTTCCCTCAGGGTCCAAGCACTCGATGGCATAGGACTTTTGGGCTTTTTAGGTAATCTCCAAAAAACCATAAGCAAGGACTGCTCGGAGGGCTTTTCCAACAGCCAGTTAGAGGATCAGCTCGGAAGTAGGGTGAGAGCAGAATAGTAACTTTCCTTGACGTGCATGAACATGACTTTCGGAAGCTCTACAAAAAGACTTAACACCCCCAAACCTAAAACTTTCAACCCCAATCCGTAGTGTAGAAGCGAAGCTTTGAAGGAACCCTAAACTCTAAACCGTACCCATAGTCTCCAATGCGGTTCCATTGTTTGGTTTAATTAGTCTATTTAGGTTTCCGTAAGGGAACTCCAATAAGGAACTGCAATGGAGACTAAGGTAGCGACCCAAAGAAGCACACAAGCATAAGCATTTTATGGTGATATCCCTACCTTATTGGCCTTCCTTTTCAGGGGTTTTTTATGGGATATCTCTCTCCTTGTTTTGGCTTATGTGCTTTTTTGGGGCGCCATAAGGTCCCCTGTAAGGAAGCTAATGATGGATCGGCCCTGGCTGCGCCTTGGAAAGAGTTAGTCCCTCCATACTCCACAGGGAGTTGGTCCGGAGCGATGTACCTACGAACCCCAGACGCTTTAGGGCTTAGGTTTCAGTGCGTAGGGGTTCAGGGGTGAAGGGTTTATCCCTTCGGGGTTTAGGGTTAAGAGGCTTAGGGGTTCAGGGATCAGGGTTTAGATGTTGAGGGCTTCGGGTTTAGGGCTTGAGGTTAAAACCATGGGCCCCAACCCGAACTAGACCCCAGGACTTCTTGAATCCGGAATTCGAGAATTTTGGTTTGTAGATTACAGTAGAAGCCAGAAAGTTGGAATATCATTATCGTAACCCCTTTAAGGTAAATTGTAGGGATCCTACCATTAATCCATATTCCAACTTTCTGGAGTTCCCTTTACCCCAACCGAATGCACTCGAGAGAGCCAAAGAACCTTCCACGCATTTAGCATTTAGAGATTAGGTGCGGCAGCGGTGGTGATGGTGGTGGCGGTGGTGGTAGTAGTGGTGCCTGCCGGTCTACTACCAAGGGTCACAGCAACAGTAATAGTAGTAGTCGGATGAATAAGACTACATACGGTTGATGATATCAACCCGCCATTACTTTAATGACCCTAGACTCTGGGAAGCATGGTAGATTCCTTATTATGGGAAATGCAGGGCTTTTATCATCAACCATACGAGTACGAAGTAGGGGGCGATCGTTGCTACGGCAAGTGAAAGCCGATTTGCAAGCTGCACGGTCTTGCAGGAAATACGTACAACCACAGCTACCCTACTGACAATGCGGCCTAAAAGTTGTTTAACCTAGAACACTAATACTTACATCGCTAACTTGATACCATAAACCAGAACTCAAGTTAATCCCCTGAGCCCAAAACGCTAAACCGTGAAACCCTTATTAATGGCACCTAAGTAAGAGGAACCGCTGAACCCCAAACAACAGATAAGTTGAACCAATGAGCGAAACACCTTAAAAGGGCTGGGGAATCCGTCTAGGAACCCTGAGCCAAAAAAACCGAAACCCCGAAGCCCTGCAGCCATTGAGAACACTTCCCTCAGTCCGGTATTGCCCCAGAGTATCACGCGAACTCGGACACCACCCTACTTGATACCCGGAAGGCACTGGAGCAAAGTGCCCTGGAAGTCCGATCCCAAAAGATGCATCTTGCTTGCTGTCACCTTGGAGTCGTCGGATTTAGCTTTTATTGTTTAGGTTTCAGGGTTTAGGCTCTAGGGTTTTTTTTAGGCTCTAGGGTTTAGGGCTCAGGGTTCTGTTCTAGAGTTGCGTATGGGCTTTAGGCTTTGCGGTGTGTCGGTTTGGGTGTTGTGGGTTGCGGTCTAGGAAGCAACGTCTGCATACGGCTTGCAAAGAAGCGACTAGGGTGGCTCCAACGAGGGCTCAGTTCTCTCAAAACGACGCAAAACACACACAAGCAGGTGTTCCTTAAATCCGCTTGGCTGCTCCGAAAATTATCTTAAGGGCTCGGGTTTAAACAAAGTTATATGTTTGGTGTCTGGCTGAGACTGAGATAGGTCGAGGTTCAAAACTCCTCCATGCTCCAAGTAGCGAGGGTGGGAATGGTTCAGCATCGGCGTTCTGATTAGCTTCAACCGGTTGGCTGCCGGGATCTGGGCATGCGGTTTAGGGCAGTTTAGGGTTTAGGGTTGTGCAAGCATGCAACAGCCCTCTTCCATTGCAGACGTGAGTCCGGATCTATCCAGTCCTGGCACGAGCTGCCGGATTCCACAGGTTTCAAGTCTTGGGGTGACCTTTGGCATTAAACATGTGTAGGTCTTGGAGCCCCGAAGAAAAACCAAGACTTTCTGCCTCCTCTGCTCCGCGAACGCCAAGCAATCTCATTAAGGTGCAAAGTTCCGCGCGGGATACCCTAAACCCTAAATGCTAACCCCTAAACCCAAACCCCTCAATACGATTAGTGTTTCAGGCATCAGGGCTTGGGGTTATGAACGCACCTGAAAATTGCAAAGCCAAAAACCTTCAACCTAACCCTACCTCTAGCACCCATAACCCAGCAACCTACGTTACAGTGTGCAGGATCCTGTGACAAACTGTGCAAACCCATACAAACCCAATTGCGAGAACAACCCCTGCATATATATATACACACATAAATCCATCTTTCCGTACATATATGTATATGTATATGCATATGTATATATATATATATATATATGTATATATATATGTATATATATATATATATATATATGTGTATATACATATATATATATATATATATATATATATTCCACATAATTATACCGTATCGCAGCAACCTAACCCCTGAACCCTAAAGCCTCCACCCTAAACTCCTTCCACATGGGTGGACGGGGCTCCTTGGAGTGGCTTCGGCTTCCATAAGCCATGTCCCCAAGCCCTACACGTCAAGAACCCTTCGAACCCTAAACCCCTAAACCCTTTAAAATAACCATAAGAGCAACCCTCTTAAGTAACCCCTAAACCTTTAAAATAACCATAAGAGCAACCCTCTTAAGTAACCCCTAAACCTTTAAAATAACCACAAGAGCAACCCTCTTAATTTTAAGTAACCCTGATCATGGTAAAACCCTAAACCCTAAACCCTAAACCCTAAACCCAAAACCCTAAAGTAAGCCTTCTGCGACCCCGCGAACCCTACACTGCAAAGGCGCGCCTTGATGAGCCGCCAGATCGCGAGGAAGATTGGTGGGGTGTTCAGAAAGAACTGGACCCTCAATACCGAGGGGTTGAGGGTTTTTCTTTTTTTTTTTAAGGTGCATTGGGGTTGAGGGTTTAGGGCTTAAGGTTTAGAGGCTCAGGCTCTGAAAGGGGTTTAATGTAGGAACCTGATTAAGAGACCCTGGGCCCATAACCCCAAAATAGTAGGGTTCGTACCAGGAACCCTAATAAAGGCCCAAGGTTTCTGAATCAGGTTCCTATATTAGGGTTCAGTGGCTTTGGGGTTTATAGCGTGTCGACTCATATGGGCTTTCCAATGCTTCAAGGGGAATCTATCAGATCCTATACCAAGGGCGCCAAGGTTTAGGGTTTTGGTGTCGAGGGGTTAGTAGTTCGAGCAGCGTTTTGTGGTATCGCACAGAAATGACAAGAACAAGTATGGAACGGAGTAGTGGCTTTAGGGTGTTTAGGGCTTCCTGTGGCGTGGGATCCAGAAATGGGATCAATGGTTTTCTACTTGCCGTTCACAGTCCGGAAATCAAACAACAATTCAACTTCAGGTTCAGGGTGTAGCCCTTCAACGCTTAACCCTAAACCCTAAGCCCTAAAGTCCATAACCCCAAACAGGAATTCTTAGCCTCGGCTGGACACGGCTGGATATGTGGGCATGTCGTTGTGTCAGGAAGGAACTGAGGCAGGGTTTGGGGGTTAGGTTAGGACTGCCCCGCAGTAAAGGTAATCAAGAAACAGTGCTGAAATCCAGGGTCGAGCTACTCAACGAGTTTCTGAGCTCTAGCGGCTCCGCTGCCTTTTTGAACGGCTGTCCGAGGAAATGTAGGCGTTGGCCGAAGAAGGTTCCGTAATTGAGAAGGCTTGCTATATGGATTTAAGACTTCCTCTACTAGCGGGTTCCTTACCCAAAGGGTCCCAGTATCATCATGGTATATACTTAGACCCATTGGGTTATCTATATACAGATATGTGTATATATACACATATATTCATATGTCCTTGAGGTTCCTTCATGATATGTCCTTGAATGAAACAAGCTTTCTATTCCACGTATGTCCACAGAAAAACCGACACAGATCTGAAAGCATTCCTACGGAGCCCCATAAACCCTCAATGCAGCAATACTGAAATTACTTCCCTACGCATCCCGGATCCCGATAGCAGAGTGTCCGTGGATACTATCACTACTTTGGAATTAGGATCACAACAAACAACAATCAGGGTACCCAGGAGGCTGGTTTTTTGGGCCATACTTGCGGCATGGTGGTACATCTGCACCCTCAAACCCAAAAAAACTAAACGGTCTCTTTGCAAGCCAAGAGAGCCCCAGCGTCTCTGGGTAGTACCTGCCAGAGTTGCGTAAGTTCAGGCTCATACCCCAAGCACCGAGACTAAAACCTAACAAAACCCCAAAACCCAACCAATCCCTAAACCCTAAGCCCAAACCCCAAAACGCAACAACGAATCCCTCGCGGCCATGAAAAATGTGAAAGGCTTTTAGGTGCATCGGGCCGGACACCGAGTTTCCCAAGGCCGATCGTTACAGACCCTTAGCCCTAAGCCTTGACGCCTAGACGTTTTAGGGACTAAGGCTTGGGGTGTAGATTTGGGTTAGTAACTCACCCTTGGACCCGAAACCGTGGAAGCTCTTCAAAGCCTAAGCCGAAACCGATGCCCTTCACCTGCAAGCGGCAAAGCGGTTCGGGGTTTAGGAGTGCTTAATTTAACGCAAGTTCCTAACCCCTAAACCCTAACCCCTAAACCCTAAACCAAATCTCATTCAGCAAGCCCTACGAGCTCCCAGCTCCATACGTCCCAGTCCTGAGACGCGAAGGGCATGGGAATAGCACTATACTTTTTCTGCCTGTTCAGGGCTCTTTTAGCCCTAAACCCTAAAAGCCCCTAAGCCCTAACCCCTAAAGCCTACACCCCGAAACCTCCCCTAAACCCTATAGATCCCTTATGGATCCCTTTGAAGGAACCCCGAGAAGATCCCTTCATGGAGCCCTTAAACCCCTGAACCCTAAACATCCAACCCACGATCTTGCAAGACAAAGCTGGCCTTTGGCTCACGCTCAAGAACCTGGGGATAGGGCTCCTAGGGTTTAGGGCTCCTAGGGTTTAGGGTTTTGGGGCTTAGGGTTTAGGGGCTTTGGGTTTGGGGTCAGAGGGTGCAGGGGGTTTAGGGTTTAAGTGGGTTTAGAGTTCAGGGCTTTGGGTTTAGGGTTGAGGGTTTAGGGTGTGTGTAAACCCCACGGTAGCTTAGCTTAGACACGGAAATGTACCTCTTTAGAGTCAAATCCTCTTTTAGAGGTACATTGGTTACTCTAGGTAAGGCTTCCACCTCGAACTTCTAGGCTTTTATTAGTTCCTGGCGACACACTTAACTGCCTGTGCAGAAGTTTGTTGAGGGGAAGACCCCATAATCACTGTTCCAATGACGGCTCTAGGTTTCCCCGATTACTGTACATAGGGCTCCCAGCCCCCACTACGCCATGCGGCTTACAGGCTTGGTGAGAATCCAAAGGGGGTTTTCGGTATCCGATGTAGAGTTCAGGCCTCAACACAGAATATGAAGAGTGTTTCGCCAAGCGACTTCTTGCTGGATGAATAACTTGAACATGGCCATACCAGCAGCGCTCATCACGTTGGTTGGTTTAGGCCCAGTTCATGATAACACATTAGTATAACACGTGAAGTGAGTTTGAACCCTCAATTCCTGTTTAGAGTCTAGGTCGCCTGGCATGGGAAACAATGTATACGTGTTGTGTAAGCCAGCATGAGTCATGAGGGTCTGCATACTTAGCAGTGCTATTGATTAGAGTTCCTCGTGCTACGTGGGCATAACCCAAAGTCTTTTCTAATTAATGTTTCATTAAGGCTCCGGTGGTGAAGGGTTGTATAGGATCTTAGAGCTATATAGGCTATCCAGTTTGATGAAATACGAGGCTTGGTAAGCGTGCCTTTGTTAGGTCACTCTTTCCGTCTGGTGAGTCTAGTATAGTGTACCCGAGAACCTCGTGCATTCGGTGAGTCTCCTTTTCAGGTTGATGCTTCTTCAAGGTGCTGCACACACTAAGCCCTCTGAATTACACTAAGCCCTTAAACAAAAACCCACTAAGGCCTCCTCAAACCCTAAACCCGGATAGCACCCGCATAGATCCATGACAAAAGCCCTTAAAGGAACCCTTGAACGAACTCCTCCAAGGGGCTCTTTGAAGACAGACATAGCCCGTGGGTCAGGCCAGTAGCTGAGCCCTTTCATGTCCATGATGACCACCTTAGAGCTCGGTTCCTACTGATAGTTGGTGTTTGATATAACGACATACTATCAGCAGGTTCAGCAGCAGCAGCGGCAGCAGTAGAAACAGTGCTAATGGCAAGTTATTTCAACATCAAGACCCGTAGAGATGCAGCAACAGCGACAGTGACACATTGCATCCAGCCCCCAAACCCTAAATCCCAAATCCTAAACCGCAGACTCCAGACCACCCCTGCAAAGCCGTAGATCCGTCGACCCAAACCCCCGACCCCTTGAATGCTCTAAGCCCTTGCAGACACTCGAACCCTGAACCAGGATTCCTGGAACCCCCCTAAGCCCTAAACCACTGAACCCTGAACCCTAAACCCCTAAACGCTTCAACCCAAAATCCTGAACCCTAAACCCTAAAACCCTAGACCCAAAACCCATTAAACCCATCAAACCCCTAAACCCCACCGGCCCGTGCCTGCTGCGTCACCTGCCGTCCCAATCGCTGTGAGGATTCGCGCATGCGAGCGGCTTGGAGCTCCTTCGACTCTTCCACGGTTTAGGGTTTAGGGTCTAGGGTTCAGAGTCATTGCTTTTACTTTTCATGCATTTAGGAGTTGCAGGGTTTAGGGCCTGGGGATCCGAATACTCCGGGCTCACGACGGCTTGTCTTTCGTAGAGAAAAACGTCGGATGGAGGGGCCTTGAAGATCATACTATTTCGCATTATTTGGCGTATACAAAGCTTCTATTGTGTAGGAGGAACCCTGAAGAATCGTATCACTAACTGTTCCGACCCATATGGTAAGTGGAATTGGGGACCTATGGAAGGATCTTGCAGCTCAACCAATGCATGTTGAAGAGGCGGTACTTTGCAACGAAAACCTCATCAGAAACCCTAAACCCCAGGCGCATACGCCTCTTTTCCGCGGCATGCTGCGCTTCACCGTCTCCAACGAGGATGCACCCACCCCCGAGGCATCCAAGTAATGGGTTCGGTGTTTGAAACTTGAAACGACTAGAAATTTGCTGCAAGGCAGACCCTCTCAACCAAAAGAAGCACAAACCTTGCAGCTTAGGGGCTGAGTAGCCTGGCGCAAAAATGTTATCCGTTTTAGGGTGTAGGGTTTAGGGTTTAGGGTTCAATTATGGTAGGGCTATATAAAACGCGAAAAGGTTTTATAAGATTAAAGGTTGCCTACTCAGCTACGACGACAGTCTGACCAACGAGTCATAAAAGGATCTCGAAGCCTCCCCAAAGTGTCCTAAGTACTTGTATGCTGGGATACTTCCCCAAATCACTATAGTAATAGTAAGTTCTTAAATAGAGGCTCTACTTTCCACCATGCATAGGTACTTTGGACGATTTACAGTTTGTGAAATGTAGGGGCCTTGATTATACGTATAGTGTTTTTGGGGGTCCGGATTTCGGAATCCCAAACCCTAAGGGTACAGGGTTTGGGGTACAGTGTGTGGGGTGGGGTTTAGGGTGTGCTTGTGAATTGGGTCTCCCCTAACCCACCTCCAAACCCTACCACGACCAGGCCTGCTAGGGTAGTTCTATCCCAGTTAGTACAGCAATAACATGTAATTCTACTTGTGGACCGTTAGGTACAATGTCTACTGATCCTCGCAGTAGATCCTTAAGCACTATACCCTAACCCCATAGTCTAAAACCCCTATCGAACCCTTCAAGGGTGCCTTAGAGGAGCCCGAAACAGTCCCTAAAGCCAGCCCGAGCCGAAACCCTAGGACATGGAAGCGAAGAGTTGCAACGCCAGCTGCCACTGGGAGCGGCTGGCACAAGCGAACATCGTGGCATTGTAACCTCAGCGCCAAACTACTGCATCCTTTTTTTTAAGGCTTCCGATCAGGCTTGTGTAACGAGCTCTATGGGGGTGCTTTCTTCAACTGGTTCCTGTAAGGATCCTCTGAAGGGGTTGCTTGAGTCGATTGAGTGGCACAGCAAAGATCCCACGATAGGCTCATACTCTGACTAGGGTTTTGGTTTTGGGGTACACTAGACTACATACTCAAAGGGGTTCCATGATAATATGATGTCTCACTGTTGGGAGGTCGCGGTACACAGCGATGTCGATGATCATGGGATCCTTCTGTGATGAAGGGCTTGAAGTAAGGTGGGTCGTTGATCAGGGGCAAACACCTACCTTTACGGGTTCCCTCTCTTGGGATCCCAAAACCCTAAACCCCCTGTGAGGCCAAGCGGCTCACCACATCAGGAGCAAGCTCGGCTTCGTGCATAGACTCAAAAAGGCTCAGGGCTAACTGCCACTGACCACCCCTTGCGCAGCAAGTGATCGTGGCCTGTGGTAACCGTGGTACGGAGGACATTGGGGGGGGGGGGGGGAGTTCTTAGAAATTGGGGATGCTAGGCTATGTACTGCTAATAAGGGCTCATGATTTCGAGATCTCCCATGACGAACGCTTCTTGAGCTGTGTGCCTACAGGCGTTTTTTGCATCGGTACAAGCCACAGACACGGGGTTGAGCGAACGTCTTCCAAAGCAAGCAATAAATGAAGGGCAAGCAGCATTGTAGCTGATGGCATCAGGTGGTAGCTGAGCGGCAATCATGGAGTTGAAGAGTTCGAGAGCCACTTGCCACCGCCCGCCCTTCTCGCAAGAGCTGATAGTAGCACTGTAGCTGACGACATCCTTGCCGGTCCATCTTCCGAATCATTGAGAAGGGTCTGTTGTGACTTCGTGGTCAGCTTATGGCTTATGGGCTTCTGCAGTATAGCCATGCCGCTGACACCCTAAACCCTAAACCCTAAAACTACAAGCGAGCGCGTTTCGAAGATACTGCTCCCTTACCATGCACCTTAAGTCCCGACACAAGAAATCTGACCCTTAACTTCAACCACCAAACCTTATCCTCCTGTTACCCTAAGGGTCCAAAGGACCAAATAATTAGGTACCTAGGCTTAGGATAGTAGTTATGTAGATTCTTATTTTGGAGAGTATATGATCATGAGGTACTTGGACCCCAAGGGTAAGACTCCAAGGAGCCCTTAAAGGAACCCATTAAAGGAACCCTGAACCTTAAACTCCTGTCATTGCCAGAAGAAGCTCCGGTGTGAGATCCAACTGAGGCATGCCAGCCAGAAGATGCAAAGCCATCCTCCACCGCCCCTTCCTTTCCTTTGGAGTTTAACGGGCTCTGCATGGCGCAGGGGGTCCACAATAGGGATTCTACACGAAGACATGCAAAGCTCAGGCCCTGTAAACTGAGAGGAGCTGAGCCGACATTCCCTACGCGATTTCGTCTATATTAGCAAAATGAGAAAATCAAAGCTTGCCCCATGTTGTTGCGAGTTTCACAGGAGCTGATCGTGGCATTGCAGCTGATGATATCAGGATGAAGATGTATGGAGGGCATGCCCAGCAAAAGCCTTGGTTGCACGTACAGCCAAGCCCTAAAGCCAGCATCCCGAAACCCTACGGCCCTACGCCCAAGTGATGTGGAAGGCTCCCGAAATCTCTACACGGGAGTTTCCGAAAATAGGGGACCCTAATTATATAGCACCCTAAATAGTAGGAGTATTTGTAAAACCCCCAAAATATGGTAACCCCTGTTTTCGGAAACTCCTACACCAGAATCAGAAACCCAGTCAGAAGAGCCCTCCGGCTGAATCAGTGCAAAGAGAGGACCCCATATCTTCCAATGCAGCCTGATTCGGGAACCCTAAAAGGTCCATGTGCCCAAATAGGGATCCGTTGGGGATTCATTTAAGGGTTACCACAAGGGCTTAGGGTATAAGGGTCCATGTACCCAAACAGTATATACTGTGGCTGAAAGTAGTCCCTATATTCGTACTTTGGGCCGTAAGTATATACAATTTAGGCACATGGACCCTTGGGGAGTACTCGCTAAATCATATGAGGGGGCCTATCATAATTTACGGTAGATTCCTTCAGTAAGGGATCTTGGAAGATCTGGCAAATAGAAGAGACAGAGCTTGTGTATTGGAGTAAACCTAAAACAGAAACCACCGAACCCTACATCTGAAAAATCCCAACCCACAATCCACCTGTTTCACAGAATCCTTGAAGGCCTGTTTGCAAAGTCCTATAGAGCCCTCGAAGGAACGCTTGGAAAGATAAAGAGCCCCTACGTAGACGAATCCTTCAACGACTGGTCAACAAAATCCGAATAACACAAAGTCCCCATGAAATACTTCTGACACAGTGTGGAACCCTGGAAGGAAGTCTTGCAAGACCCTGTGCAAGGCCGGAAACCCTGATGAGAGAAGAGGGGCTGCAAAGCCATCTGCCAGTGACCAATCGATTCCAACGATCCGATTGCGGCGACGTAGCTTCCTAAGCTCCCACACCCAAAGGGTCCAAGTATCATTATGGTATATACTTAGAGCCCTAAAATACCCTCTAAGTACGTACCATAATGATACTTGGACCCTTTGGGACATATACAGGCTTAAGGGCTTTGTGCGGATCTTTCACAAAGGTGCTTTCAAGTATTCTATGACTCTGGAAGGGTTCTCTTACAAGGGCTCGGGCTTAGAGTGGAGTGTTAAACGTGCTCTATCCTGATATAAAGCGTTTGGGGTTTGTTGTATAGGGCTTTGGGGTTTAGGGCTTAGTAACTTAGGGGTCAAGTATCCCTCAAAGCAAGATTCCCTGTCTTTCATGTAGTTCAGCTTCGGAACGGAACCCTGGAACAAAAAGGACAACATGATACTACCGGAAACCTGGCTTCTCGAATTCGGCAAAGTTTTGGCATGTGGCATGGTGCTCAGCACATGCACTGCGTGCTGCCACTGTGAGCTTCTCTTGTACCCACTGAGAACTGCATTATAAGTGGAAACACTCGCATTCTGCTTGGAAGCCAGCATGGACTCAAAGAGCACCCAAGCCAGCTGCCAGAGCCCTTCTTTTTCGAAACAACCGAGGACGCCATTGAAACTGATTGTATCCGGAACGAGCTTTACCTGAGGCATCGATGCAAAAAGATGCAGGGCCAACTGCCACTGAGCTTCTGTTTCACAAGAGGCGATGAGCGTGTTGTAGCTGACTGTATTTGGAGTAACCTCTGCTTGAGGCATGCCAGAGAAAAGCCACCATGCCAACTTCTGCTGCCCGCCCCTGTGGAAAGAATTGATGGTTGCATTGTAGCTGACGACATTAGGATGGAGTTCGTAGGTTTTCATGGCCTGAAAGAGCTGCCAGGCTGCTTGCCACCTGGACGCCCTGCCACAAGCACTGATGGTAGAGTTGCAGGTGATGGAGTTTGGTAGGAGCTGAGCGGACAGCAAGGACTGGAAAATATGCACCGCCAGCTGCCAGTGTGCCGCTTTTCCGATACAGTTGATGCCAGCACTGTAGCTCACAATGTTGGGGAGAAGCGTGCTTTCAGACATTGAGGAGAAGATATGCAACGCTAGCTGCCATTGCCTTCCTCGCTCGCAGGAGCTTATGGTAGCATTGTAGCTAATCACGTCCGGGGACAGCGTGGCCTTGGCCATTCTTCAAAAAACTCCGGGTTTAGGGTTTAGGGGTTTAGGG